ACCCTGGGGATGCAAAGGTGAATGGAGCAGTCTGTTTCTTCAAATGGCTGTTCAGCGGTTAGATTGACTGGTTATTCCTATCCCGTAACAAGAGATTTGCAGGGAGATCGTGGTTGCTATGAGGGTGGGATCTGTAATAAAGGTTAGTGCTAATGAACCCAAGAAAATCTCACCCTTTGTTTGGGAGGTGGCGTGTGGTTTCTCTAAGACCCAGAGAGTCTAATAATTTGGAGCTCCCCTCCCTTTTTTTTTAGGAGAAAAAAAAATACATATAAGTATAAGGGGAACCAAGAGACATATCTAGACTTTCAAAAGACCTTAATAAATTGTGTAAAGATGGCGACTTTAAAGTCAACAAAAAGATCAAAGAGACTTGCATTGTGTACAAAGAACTGTCTTTTTAAAACGGGGTAAAGGGCCACTTCTGTTATCTTGGAAGAGCCCCCAGTGTGACATAAGGAGTTCATGGTAAAATCTTGAGGTTTCAGCAGCAGTGTCAGGCTGAAGAAGAACAGCAGAGCAGCTGGTGAGACTCTGTAGGCAGACAGCCAAGAGCAAGTGTCCTGTGCGCAGAGTGAGAGCTCACCGAGGTGGTAAAAGTAATGTTTGCAGGGTGATGGGTCAGTGCGGTGTGGCGCTGCAGGTAAGGACACGGTCAGAGACCTGTCATAGAGCTCTGTGGTGGTGTGGGGGGACATCCTGCGCCCAGTGTCTCAGCCTTGAGTTGGAGAAGTGGCACCACCATTTACTGATGACGGTCTGCGCGCCCCTGAGCATCCTGGGGCTTTAAGGCTACCCTGTGGCTGGCAGCCACTCCTGCCTTAGCGCTCCGCGTGCCTGTGGTGCCCACGTGACAGACTGATGTGGGGACTTGCTGAAATGACACCATGTAGCTATACACGGTTTTCTTCCCAGAAACAAAACCGAAAACAGCACACCCTAGAAAACAGAGTTGGCTAGAATTGTGGTCTTTGTTCTATCCTAAGGAAGTTGTAGGGGGTTGACTGAAGTCCAGGGAAGAATAATTAAAATAATCATGGGTTGCAATAAGTGGTTCTTATCAGTTTCGCCTGATGGATGCTCTTATCTGGAAAAGTGAGGGCTGAGAGGCAGTTTGTGATCAAGTTATAAAGTCATGAAGAGTAAAGGGCGCACACAGTGATTTGGGTCCAAGTCTTGGATCCTCAAAACTAGAAGGTTGCCCGGTGCCGTTTGGAAGAGCTGAGTTCAGTGCGCCTCAGCGAGACAGTGTGCTGAGACTCCACCTCAGAGAGGGGACAGTATCCTCAAGGAGCAGTTAATAGACGCTGAAAGTCACAGTGCTGGAGCTTTAAAAAAGTTTTAGAGCATCCATGGGCCTCTACTCTCGAGGGTGGAGGTGGATGTTTTGCTGTGTGCCTCTTACCTTCTGAGGTTGGGGCCGCACGCTGCGTTCACCCACACACTGCTTCCTGGGAACGTGGGCTGAGGTAGAAATCTGCTGGAGTGGCTGTGCGCCTGGCCCTGTGTGCTGGTCTCCCTGAGCGTCCTCTCAGCTCATGCTACTGGGTAGGAGAGCGGGACCCCAACCCCACTGCCTTGCCTGCAGTGGGGCTGTCTTTGCTGGAACCCAGCTGCGCCAGCGCCTCCATACCCTGCAGCCAGACAGAGCCTGCCCAAGCTGGGGCTTGTCAGCCCGCATCAAAACAACGCCTGTCTCGTGAATCAAATTTGCATTGACGTCCTGCTGCAGACCACCTCCCTTCTAATCCTGTCTTGGAACCCTGTTCAAATCCTGCCAGAATGGGTTTGTCTTTATTTAATTCAAGTTCGATGACCTGCTCATTACAAAAATGCTGTGCGAGTGAGACTTTCCCCCTCCGACCACTTTTTAACTGGCTGTGTGTAGAGTGATTCTGTTACTCCTCTAGGACTGGTTTTCCAAATCGTGTTATTTCTACTACATAGTTCTTCAGTCGTGGAATAGGAGAGTTTTAGTATTGTTTACATCCACGTGTGCAGACCAATTTCACCTGGTGAGTCACTGTGGTACAGATTCATAAAGGCCTGTTACCATCAGTTTAGATTTAGCTTTTCAGAGAAATCGAATTTAGGTTTGTGATTTAGTGTACAAGTAAATTTATTGTAACTTCTGATATTTTTTGATTTTATTACTACTCACCTTGTTTCAGGGAGAAGCGCACGTTAGCGGGAGACTGGCTGTAATGTCTGTCTCTGAAGCTCGGGGAAGAGGATGTAAGACTTAGAGCAGAACTTCCCAGTGCTGGGTCAGGGATCCAAATAACATGAGTTTGAAAACAAAGCTAGATTCACATTCAGCCGGAGGAGTTTAGAGGTCATCTGGTTCGGCCCCTTCTTTCTGGTTAATCATGAGGAAAATGAGGTTGAGAGAGGTGAAAGGACCTGCCCTGAGCCCACGACGAGCCGCTGGCACGGCCGGACGCCAGTGGCAGCTCCTTGCTGTGGTCTTGCTGTGACTTGCCACTTCCTAATTAGCGGTTAGAGCGACGTCTTGCTTGTGTGTGCGTGTCTGAGTCTTGCTTTGAGAGGAGGGATTGAAAGTCACCGAGCACCTATTTGCCGAGTGTTATTTCATGTGACTCTCACGTCATCCTAGGAAGTAATTATTAATAGTCCTGCTTTGCGGATTAGGAAACTAGGGTGCAGGAAAGTTACTAACTTGCTCACGATCTTGTGGTTAATATTGGAGCTGGCATTTGAGCCTCAGGTCCCGCTGCCTCGCCCGGGCCCTGGCCCTGCTGATCGCAATCAAGACTTTTTCAGGGGCGCGGGCGGAAGCGCTGGTTATCTTGAAAATCTATCTGTTTCAGGCTTCTCGTTCGTGCTCTGAGAGACGCAGATGGGCACAGATGCGGGCAGGGAGCCTTTCTCAGGGTGCCGCAGCCCTGGGCCGCTGTGCGGTCAGCCACAGGCCGCCTCCGTATGGCCATGGGGCGGCGGAGGCCCCGGGCGGCCTTGCCAGTTCTGGGACCTGCCCAGTTCCTTACCACAGCCCTGCACTGCCCACCTCCCGGTTGGGTCCCTTCTTTGCCCGTCCGGCATAGATTTCACCACTTTGGTTCTTTCCTGTCTTACACCAAGATTGTTTAAGTACTTCCCAAAAATAATGAGCCACGTGTGGGCGTGTTCGGTCTCCAGAATGAATCACTGTGACAGAGGCCAGGAACCGACGAAAGGGGAACAAGTATCTGGAATCAGAGACTCCTGGCTGTCCCGCCTGCTAATTGACGACTCTGAAGTGAGCTTTTTTCAAAGGGCGGCTTGGCCAGGGTCTGGTTGTGTGTCCTGCTGCGCTCAGAATAGCCCTCCTGGAGTTGTCCATTTTCCCTTCTTGCTTCCCAAAATAGACCCAATGCTATTCTCTGCGCCAGACGTCACAGCTCATGTATTAGGAGGTGTGTGCTTCCCTGGGGACCCCGTTTGTGCCTGAAGGTCCCCACTGACACACAGAGAAGTGGGCACTGGCTTTCTCAGGATGAGTAGTCAGGAGACCAATGTGAGTAAAAGAGCTTCGGATCGCATGTTCTGAGAGTTGCAGGAGTGGATCTAAGTTAGCGAGAGGAATAAAAGAGGGAGCAAATAAAAATATTTGGGAGAAAAAATGAGGTTCTTTGGTCCTCCTTGTTTCTAAAAGCCTTGGAATTGCAAGTGGGTGGAATTTACTTTTTTAATTCTTTTTATGATTTGGCTTATAGTCTAAAGGGCACCTGCTTTAAACTTTCTGCCTTTAACATACAACGCTACCCAGCCCGGCAGCAGGTAGCTGCATGTTTTGGAATTTCTCCTAGAAGAAAGGATCTGCTCAAACACTCTGAAAAAAAATGACGGGCCATCCAGTGACCCTCCACGTTACCTGCGAGTGCACGCGCCTTTGTTCTTTGCTTGGGAATGGCAAGGAGTTGTGTCATTTATAGAACGTCTGAGGAGGGAGAGGTTGGACCCTGAGATAGTATCGGTCTTCGAATATGAAAAGCCAGGAGAGAGACTGTTTACAGTCTAGCACTGCAAGTGTCGTAAGACTGGTCGTGGAGGTCTCTTCCTTCAGGACCTTCATTTGGATTTATTTCCATTTGCTATCCAGACAGTGTTCACTTAGTATCCAGCCTGGGGCGTGGTCGGCCCTACCACCTCCCCTGATTTATTCAGCACCCTGAGGCCCAACCTAAGTAGTCTCCGGGCCAGAGCCACACTCCTGCCCATCCCAGAGGGTCAGGACTAGGTTAGGCTCATGGGAGACAGTGTAGGGGAGAACCAACTGCTGCTGTCTGTGCTATTCTTGTTAGATGGATAAATAAAGGATTTCAAATTCCAGGGCTGCCGAACTGGCTTTCAAAGGCGCCAAATTCATTTACAGTAATTTCCTGTCAACAGTGCACACATATGTATAATACACACCCAGCAAAACTCATTAGTCCTGGAGATGATTGCATATGCTATCTATTTGAAAATATTTATTTATTTATGTATGTGATATCCAGGGCCTTTCTGTGTGGGTTAAATTTACTGAGCACTTTTTATGCATTAGCTCGTTTAATCCTTGCAATAATTTGACAAGGTGGGCACTAATATTATCCTCTTTGGAGGATGTTCTTTTTGCTTCTCATGAGAGGGGCACCTGGCATAGACTAAAAGGAGGAGGAGGGTGTTGAACTGGCTAGGGGAAGCTTTTTAAAGGAAGTGACGTTGAAGCAAAGTGTTAAAGGAGTTGTGAAAATTAGCCAGGAAAAAAAGCATTGCAGCCCCAGCATGTGTGAGAGCATGCATACTGCATTCAGGAAACGTGCAGAGCGCCAGGGGAGGGAGATGGGGCTGATGATGCCTCCAAGGGGCCCTGGATGGTTTGGGGGGGGCGGAGGGAGGGCCCTATAGTCTCCAAAGGAAGGTGCCTTCCTTTCATCCTCAGGCATCTAACCTTAAGGGAAGATGTCTTTCCCAGCCACAAAATAATTTATAATAAATCTTAAGGCAAAGTTCAAAAAGGTAGTTTCTATAGGCCTAAAATGGAACACTTAAAGGAAAAAAAAAAAGGTGGGGACATCAAAAGCCTTGTTTGTGAGCTGAATAAACAGGTGAAAAGATTGTGCCCCCATTGATGATATCATCTTTCTGGCCTTGTCTCTATAAAAGCTCCTTATTTTGGAACATCAAGTATGCGAAGGGATTATGTTCTAAGTCTGGAAAAAAGGCAGGATAAGATCTCACCGTTGATGTCAATGTCTGCTCCCCAATTTCCTGCAGCTCTGCTGTGTGCATGCACCAGCTGCCTACAAGCCAACTACACATGTGAAACAGACGGGGCCTGCATGGTCTCCATATTCAACCTGGATGGCATGGAGCACCATGTGCGCACCTGCATCCCCAAAGTGGAGCTGGTCCCTGCGGGGAAGCCCTTCTACTGCCTGAGCTCCGAGGATCTGCGCAACACCCATTGCTGCTACACTGACTTCTGCAACAAGATTGATCTGAGGGTGCCCAGTGGTGAGTGGACACCCTTCTTGGACTATTGGCTCGTCTCGGAGGTAGGGCACCCCTGTCATTTCATCCTTCTCTACTCATCCCTCATCCCTTTGTTTGATGATAGGTAAAGGTACCTTTTTGATGTTCCCCAAGGTGACAAGGTCTGGGAGTCCTCCCAAGACAGGTGTGTAAATTAGTGGATGGTAGAGATGGATTTGTCAAGGTAGTCCCAGAAGGCTCTGTTTTGGGTGGAGACTGAGCCACTATGGGCAGCTGGTGAGGAGAGAAGGGAAGGGTTCCCAGAGGAGGGTGTGGACTGATGGACGGCCCCAGAGTCTGGGAAGGGAGCTCTCTGCAGGACGAGGGGACGGCAGAGGGGAAGAGGACTAGAACTGGAAAAGAAAAAGAGCGATCAAGGCTGAGAAGTATGAGCTCCACCCTTTACAAGTCTCCATTGAGAAAGTGTTACTGGGGAGCTTAGCGGCGAAAGGGAGAGCAACCGGAGCAGAGTTTAGAGAGGCAAGACCTGGCGTTTGTCTGGGGGGCCAGGGTGGAATAGCTCTGTGAAGTGCTGTGCAAGTACAAGGTGGGTTGTGGGTTTGAGTGTTGAAAAGGGCGCCTGAACTGGAGAGCACTGGCATTTGAGAGATCCCTGCAGATAGATTGGCAGAGCAAGAGCAGAGAGATTGGGGCACCTTGGGCTCACGGAGATGGAGGGAGCCGTTTTCACTTGGAGGGAGCTGGTGGGATAATTGAGGCCGTGGCTTTCCTGTGTTTTCACTCTGCTCCGTTTCTCTCCTCTCTCGCCTGACACAGGTCATGTCAAGGAGCCCGAGCACCCTTCCATGTGGGGCCCCGTGGAGCTGGTAGGCATCATTGCCGGCCCAGTGTTCCTCCTGTTTCTCATCATCATCATTGTTTTCCTTGTCATTAACTATCATCAGCGCGTCTACCACAACCGCCAGAGACTGGATATGGAAGATCCCTCATGTGAAATGTGTCTCTCCAAAGATAAGACGCTCCAGGATCTTGTCTATGATCTCTCCACATCAGGGTCTGGCTCAGGTACTAAGTTCTTCAGGCATTTTGTCTGTCTGTCGTTGACCTTAATCACCATTTCCAGCAAGCTGGAGTGTTCATGGAGAAGGCTGGGCCTTGCCCTTATTTATGCCAGCATTGAGGCATTTGGTTTCATAATTCCCCTTCTTTTGGAGTCGACATGTAATAAGATAAGATAATGGGTTCACAGAAAATCTTTCATTCCCTGGAATTCCAAAGTCAAAGGTAAAATGCTCCCTTCAGAAACCTTGCCTCTCGTTACGTCTTGGAACCGTGCGTCTTTTAAAATTCACTGGTTCCACCCGAGCGGTTGCGTGCTCCATTTCAGGCCCCTTTTGAGAAACAGGAGTGTGCCGGGTTCCTGTGAGGTGGTGACAGCTAATCATTGATCGCTGAGCAACCACAAGGGGAGTTTAAGGACATTGAGTAAAACAGAGCTAGGGGGTTGGTGAATCATTGACGTGTGGCCCAAGGGATTGTTTGGCGGGGTTAGGAGAGAGCAGCTGGGGCGCTCCGCACAGCCTCAGCGCAGTTTTCCCCACCGACTCTTTCTCAGATGAGAAAACAGAACTGACCGTTGGACCTGAGGTGAGCCCCCCATTTAGGCTTGGGGTATAACTCAGCTGCTAGATGCGAGTGTGGCTGCAAGAGGCGGGGGCTTTTCATGAAGATAGTTATGGTGATGGTCTGTGTGTTTTTGGTGTTTTGTTTTTTTTTTTAATCACAGAGATCACTGCTGGTAGTCTAGCTAAAACATACAGAGTATTTGTGAGAATTTTGTGTGCGTTTTCTTGCCTGTGGCAAAAACTATTGTTCTGTAGGGAAATTATGCCAGCAGTCATTTCTCCTACAGCCAGACGTTCCTCCTTGCACACAAGCAGTACTTTGAGCTGTGACATCTCCTGAATTTCAGTGGTTTTGCCTTTATTAAACTCTGCAGTAGAGAGTGCCAGAATGATGGATATATTTAAAAGCTGCCTATTTTTAGGAAGAGAGAAAATATATGGCTTATTCTTTGCTGAAAGAGGTAGAGCAATGGTTAGAGCTGCCTGTGACTGCCTTTGAGACTTGATTTGCTGCTCAAGAAGGGTTAGCTCAGGTTTTCCAGAGTCTTTTTTTAAGATTAGAACTAGCTGAGGCTAGGGAAGGTGTTCCTCCTGTATCTCAGGAGCGGTTTTCTGGAGTAATATGATTATTAACTTTCTCTCTGGATGTGTGTTGGTCCATCCTGAATTCAGAATATGCTGAACTTCCAAAGTATTGAATTTTAAGTACTGTGTCTTTTTAAGTAATAAGTGCATACTGCTTATGTGACTTTTAATTCACATTAACAAATATATGTTGAATGCCCTCTGGGTGACATAGGATAAAAAAAGATGAGAAAAGAGAAATGGCTTATAGAAGGGACGGGGGTTGTTGGGAAGGGTCTCACAGAGAAGGATGTTTGCTTAAAGGGGTCTTGAAGAATGTGTTGGAGGTTTTAAGAGAGAGGTGACAGGGCAGGAAACATTCCAGACCAAGGAAGACACCTTGAGGGCCAAAAGGCATGAAGTTCACTGTGTTTAAGGCGCGCTAGACTAACATGCTGAGCCGCCACCGCCCCCTCCCCCCACCACCCCCCCACGTGGGGAACAGGAAGCTGGCCCAGGTGTAGGACCTTGGGTGCCATATTTGATCTGGTAAGAGGAGAGGCATCTACTAAAGGGTTACATTTGGGGAAATAAATGTTCATATTTTCCTGTGGAAAGAGTTCTCCTGGTGCAGAGGTTGAATTCATTTACTTACCAGCCTCCTGTTTGGGGGGCGGTAAAGCTGGATGTGTGTGGGTGTGTAGGGCAGCAGCAGGGTGAGATGGGAGGCAGAAAGACCAGTTGGGAGTCTCTTAAAGAAGGGCCAGAACTAGGACAGGCACAGAGGGAATGGAGAGGAGGGATCTAATTTGAGAAACATTTTGGTGGTTCTATACTGTTGCAGTTAAAAGCATAAACTTTGAAGTCAGACAGTCCTAGATTTTAATCTCTGCTTTGCCACTTACTGCTTGTATAAATTTGAATGAGTCATTTTACATTCCTCTTTTGTTTTCCCATATATAAAATGGGGGGTAGGACTAATTCTTAAAGGTGGTTGTGAAGAAATGAGGTAACTTTTGTAAAGACTGAATGCATAGTAAATGGTAGTGCACATCCACAAGACTTAGGGATAAATAGCGTATTTATTTGGTCAAGGAGAGGGAGGGAGAAAGTTAGCATGTCATGATGATAAGGAGGATTGGAGAGACACAGAGACATTGATGAGTCAGATGAAGCAGTAGCTGGGTCCTGCAAACTTAGAATAAGCATGCACAGTCCCTCATTCCGTGTCAGGAGCTCCTGGGAGCAGAGCTTTGATCTCTGGAGTGGGAACTTGACATGCCCTGACCAAGGTTGGCTCTCATAGGCCGCACAGCACCGCCCTCTAGTGGCCAGTGACCGGACGGTTCCTTCCACTGTCCTCTTCTCTGCCCTCTTTCCTCTTCCCTGGGCATAGAGCAGATGTGGGTGGTGTGGCCTACAGGAAACTGGCTGCAGAATTGGTAAATCTGGTTGGACATTTATATTCAAATCTGTCATCCACACTAAGTGAGAGAAGTTGCTTCAATAAGGAACAGCTCATCCTTGCTGCTCACTCCCACTCGCTCCCTGGCCTGGCCTTCTGGTGGACTGCCTGGGCATGGGGCAGGGCAGCCACAGCTCTCCACGGTCAGTGGACCAGTATGGAAGGGAGACGCTGTGGGAAGGGCTTTTCCAGTGTGGCAGGGAGAGTGGGGGTCGCAGAGTTTAGCAACTTTACAATGTCAGCTTTCTTTGGTCCACAGGGTTACCCCTTTTCGTCCAGCGTACAGTGGCGCGAACCATCGTTTTACAGGAGATTATTGGCAAGGGCCGGTTTGGGGAAGTGTGGCGAGGCCGCTGGAGGGGTGGTGATGTGGCTGTGAAAATTTTCTCTTCTCGAGAAGAACGGTCTTGGTTCCGGGAAGCAGAGATCTACCAGACAGTTATGCTGCGCCATGAAAACATCCTTGGATTTATTGCCGCTGACAATAAAGGTAAAGGCCTAGGCTTGGACACAAGGTCTCCAGAAGCAGTAGCGGTCCCAGGTAGAGGGAATGATGGGACAGTTGAACAGCACGGTTCTGTTTGTCTTCATAATTAGTGCCCATAGAAGGGGAATCTGAATAAGACAATTGTTTTCATTTTTTTTTTTTCCCATGAAAAGATCATACAGAAACCCAGGTTATTAAGCAGAAAAACAAGGTAAACCCCGCGTCCCACCTGTCCACCTTCCCTTCCCTCACTCTTCTGATCCTGCCCCAGAATAATCCCCGCAGAGGCTCTAGCAAGTCTAGCAAGTCTGACTTGAAAACCACTGGAATGCAGAGTTGGGGCCTGTACATCTGCCAAGAAAGGGTCAGCCCCAAGGTAAAATGGAGTCCACGTTCTGTGCTGTAGCCAGTGTCAAACGTGCTCGTGTGTGGAGCAGACCTGGCAGAGCAGTGCCCTGCCTGTGCACTGCCACCGAAATGCTGCTTTGTGGTTTTAAGCTTCGTTTTGGCCTGCTTGTACCTGAGGTTCCTTGTTTCCTCCTTCCTCTCCCTTCTGCTTTTGCTTCAGTTTTTGAGGCTGTGGGTCCAGGCGCGTCATTATATATTTGAGGACCTCGCCCACTAGCAAAGAGACAAGTGCACTAATGACAGGGGTGTAACGGTGGGAAGTCATCAGACAGCAGCAGTTCTGGTGAGCACAAATTGGGGTGAAATGGCAGGTAAGAGAGGTCACATCTGAGCTTAGTTGCAGCAAAGGTGGCAGGAGTTGGTCAGGAAGAAGAGCCAGGAGGGAGGGCGCTTGAAGCACTGCGATGTGGGTGGAGGTGGGCAGAAGCCGGCTTATGAAGGGTCTTTTTGAGAAGATTGTATTTCATTCTGAAGGGTGTGGGTAATAATTGGAATGTCTTTCATTAATGCCATAACACTGATTGATGTGTCCAAACCTCTGTGAGAGGGGACAACAGTCTCCTGGGCGCCTGAAATCAGAGAGACCAGGTTGTACATTTTTAGAAGTCTTTGGCAGTCATGAGGCGGTTTGTTGCACTGCACGATCAGAGTGTCTCCACTCGGGAAGATGCTGAGGGTTTATCTGTCCTTCCTGAGGTGGCAGTGGACTGCTCACCCTCGTGTCATGTGGGGTTTGTAATGGCCTCAGCTACCCGCGAGCTGAGGCGTCTCGGACACAAGGGAAGAAGGGGAAGAGAGATTGTTACTCCCTGTAAGCCAGCTGTTCCTTTTTAAAAAATAATGTCACCTGTGGATAAAAGTTAGATCTTGGGCTTCCCTGGTGGCCAAGGGGTTAGGCACCACACTGTGAAGCATCCGCAGCCTCTGCAGCATGAGTTTGATCCCCGGCCGGCCAGGGAGCAACCTACATGGTGAGGCACAGTTGGCGAGGCAACTCTCCTGTCTCACCTGCTGTCCCCCTCAGCAGTGTATTTCAGTCATTCTGCCTGTTCTGCTCCCTACTCTGTCTCTGGTGAATCCTCTCACTCCCCCCCACACCTCTGGCCTGTACCCCAGTTCTGGTATGCATAGATAAATAAATCTTTAAAAAAATAGAATAAATACTTGGAATACTTGGAAGTGTACTCTTGACGCACTGAAAACAGTTTTTGCAGTAATGCATAAAGGAGTTCTTTCCTACTCTCACAAGAGCTCACTGCCTGGTAAGAGTAATGGGCTGCAAGGCAAGACAGATTCTGGGGTTGAGCTCTGTTCAGAGGGTCTTGGAGCACAGAGGCTGGACAAAAAGTCTGCCTCCTGGGTGGTGATGGATGCAGCTGCTATGCTTGCTAACCAGTAGATGGGCAGGCCTGGCCAAGGACCCAAACAGTTTTGCAAACAAAACAAATGATAGCGGGCCTCCCCAGTGGCGCAGGCTATTGAGCATAGCGCTGTGAAGCTGTCCACAGCCTCTAAAGCGCGGGTTCGATTCCTGGCCGGCCGGGGAGACTCCCACATGGTGCGACAGACCTCTCCTGTCTCACCCGCTGCTCCCCTCAGCAGTGTATTTCAGTCTGTCTGCCTGTTCTGTTCCCGATTCTGTCTCTGGTGAATCCTCTCACCCTCCCACACCTCTGGCCTGTACCCCAGTTCTTGTTTAAATAAATAAATCTTTTTTAAAAAAAAATAGCTCTTACTTCCCCTGAGAGACCTGCTTCATCTCAAACTTGGTGTAATAATGGGGTGCGGTTCAGAATCCTACGGCCACCTCCAAGCAGCCCGGGGACTAAGTTTAGCAGGAAGTTCTGTCCTTACTGGAACCTAAAAATTGTGGACAACTGTAGATGAAACGGACATTGAGGGGCTGCAATATGGGGGTGAAAAGTAAAAATTCAGGAGTCCAGCCTGAGCTTGTGTTGCACACGTTTCCTTACCTGCCTGGGCATCTGTGCTGGTGGGTGAGCCTTTTCTGGACCTCTCCTGTGGTTCTCTGCAGATAACGGCACCTGGACTCAGCTGTGGCTCGTCTCTGACTATCATGAGCATGGCTCCCTCTTTGATTACCTCAACCGGTACACGGTGACAATTGAGGGCATGATTAAACTGGCCTTGTCGGCTGCCAGTGGCCTGGCGCACTTACACATGGAGATCGTGGGGACGCAAGGTAAATGGCCAGCACTGGGGCAGTGAAGTGGGGTGTGGGGTTGACTTTGGTTTTGGTTTTGGTTTTGGTTTTGGTTTTTTTGGTGAGGTAGACTTTAAATCCTGTCTTGTACCACCTGATTTACTTTCCACACTCTTTCTTACTGAGAATGTCAGAGCTAGGCTTTAGCAACTGCAGTCTAGAAGAAAGAGGCTTGAACTTTATTTGAAGACTGCCTGGTGGATTAGACACTGGCTATACTGACCCAGGACGATTTTCCCAGAGCAAAGAGGCTGTAACTAGTGTCCACTCATCAGGAGGTCCTGGAGCTTGTCACAGTGGCAGGTGTGTTCCCTGATGCCTGGTGACCAGGGTCGTCGTTCCTGCTGGCCCTGATCCAGAGCTGGCTTTAAGTCGGATCCCATTCCTAGCTGATGGGCAGTCCCCATTTTTGCCTGTTTCAATGCAGCAACTTTTAAATAATTCCTCGGTGTATCAATGCCAGAGCCTGTCAGTACAGGAGAGGCAAGTGGTGGTCGTATCAGCAGTAATCTTTGCTAATACACTGGCCTTCCTAATTAATTACATTGCTGCATTTAATCCTCACAACATGCCCACAGAGTAAGTACTGGTGTTGGTCTTATTGCATGGGTGGGGAGACTGAGGTCCAGGTGGTCAAGTCATTTTTCCAGGGTTAGCTGGAGGCAAAGTGAGGACTTGAACTTACACAGACCGGCTGCAGAGGCTATGCTTTTAACACTTCGGCTGTCTTTCTTTAATGATCCCTGTTTTCTTCTCTGCTAGGGAAGCCTGGAATTGCTCATCGAGACTTAAAGTCAAAGAATATTCTAGTGAAGAAAAATGGCATGTGTGCTATTGCAGACCTGGGCCTGGCCGTCCGTCATGATGCAGTCACCGATACCATTGATATCGCCCCAAATCAGAGGGTGGGAACCAAACGGTAGGAAGGCCCTGGAACTCTGCCCTTGCCAGCATTTGTACTGAGCAGCCCGTGGGTGCCCTTGCTGTATGCACAGAGGAGGAAGGTGTGGACCTTACTCCCAGACAGCAAAAGTTACCCAGGTTGTGTCAGGCAGACACACGAGTGCCAAAAGTGCCATGGTGCCAGGCACGGGAGGCAGCAGCCAGAGAGAATCTGGAGCAAGATTCAGATGGGGGTCAGGTAGCAGGTTTGGCAAGAAGAGGGAAAAATACTAGAGTCTGAGGAGTGACTTGTGCAGAGACCCCTGAAGAGGCAGGGTCCGTGTTCTACTTAGGGTTTAGAGAGCAGGTTTGCCAAGCTGGGCAGAGGTCATCTAGGGTGGGGATGGGGGAGCACTTCTTAAAGATTGTCCTGAGTTGTGATTGTAGGTTGTAGATTGACTTCATGAGAAGGAAATGGAACTCTCTCAAAAGGATGGAAGAGAGGTCTGTTTATCTATGGAGTCTAAATGAATTTCACTAAATCGTGCTGCAACTTTGTCCCTTCCTTTGACCCGAATGATTGTTGCTCCCTACTCCCCAAAGTGTGAGGCCTGGATGATCCCCTGGTTTGCCTTACTGTTGTCAGAGAGACTTGAGTGGTACTGATAACTGAGGGTGAATTCGGTGATAGTCTAGAATTTTCACCTATCTGCGATCAGGTAAGAAAACAAAAGTTCAGGAAGAAATTTAAGCTCAGCTTATCTCTGGCTCCAGTCAGTAAAGTCCAAGACCCCAGTAGCAACCAGATAGTAAGTATTGCTACTGCCCCATGACCCACACTACGATATCTCTGCCATGAAATCAAAATGTGCTTAAAATATTTAATCTTGAGGGGCCTCCCTGGTGGCGCAGAGGGTTAAGACGCAACCTTTGGAGCTATCGGCAGCCTCTGCAGCATGAGTTCGATCCCTGGCCAGGGAGCTGACCCACATGGTGCAGCAGACCTCTCCTGTCTCCCCACTGCTCCCCTCAGCAGTGTATTTCAGTAGATCCGCCTGTTCTGCTCCCCACTCTGACTCTGGTGAATCCTCTCACCCACCCCCCACACCTCTGGCCTGTACCCCAGCTCTTGTATGCATAAATAAATAAATCTTTGAAAAAAGTATTTAATCTTGAACACTAAAAACTAGAGGTACAAGTAGGAGTAGCCAAGCATCAGCAGATCTGCACTGAAGTTTTTAGACGCGAATCCCAAACATTTGGGAGTTTGCAATAAAGAGAGTTGACTGTTCTTGCTCCCCAAAAGACATTCTTGGGGTGATGCTCTCTCACATCCAGGGGGCCCCTGGAGCAAGACTTTGGGTTTCCATGCACGATGATGTTTCCTTTGCCATTTCAGGTACATGGCCCCCGAAGTGCTTGATGAAACCATCAACATGAAGCACTTTGACTCCTTTAAATGTGCTGATATCTACGCCCTGGGCCTTGTGTACTGGGAGATTGCGCGAAGGTGCAACTCTGGAGGTACCTTCCTTCCCTCCGTCTCCTGCTCCACCTGCCTCTCAGCCAGAGTGCTGGATCCCCTGCGGGTGCTGGGGTTTCACTTCACCTTCCCTTTCTCCTCACCATGGTCAGGGGCCTAGTGCAGAGCCGCCGTCACACTCTAAGCACATCTCTCCTGTTTTGTGGGGGTCGGGAAAGCCCTGGGTTGGGGTAACACGGGACTAATGCGGGTCTCCTTCACCCAGGAGGCAGCAGTCAGACACTGTTCGCAAGCCACATGCCTCATTGATAACTAATGGTGGTAGTTTCTCTGTTTACAGGTAAAAGCTACTAATGCAGAGATTTTTCTGAAAATGAGTTTTTTCTCCTATAATTTTTTCTTAAATCCTTGACTTTTGCAACTGCTCAGTGTCAGAACCAGTAAAAGCTAGTATCCGATTTAGTAGAAAGCATTTTTTTTTTTTTTACCATCAGCTTAGTACATCAGTGTTTTACGGTGACTTCCAAATATTCTGCTGTGTAATCAACTTTAAGAACTTCTCAGACTCTGTCTCAGCCATTTATCTCTGATGTGAAAGATTCCAGATCAGTGGAAATGGTCAAGTTAAAAATAACCATTGACTCTTCCAGCAGACCCTTTATGTAGTATTACCTCTTCCTGTGTATATGTTTGGAAAGATCCAAATTATGGAGGAGGCACCCGGGGTATGATTCATGGAATTGTACATTTTAAAATTTCATCATTTTGTGCAGACCAAACAGATTAAGGAAAATCTGTTCACTCAGGTCTTACATGTGAGTAAGTTGATTTTCTCTTAGGCCATCCAGAAATTGAGACTAAGTATATAAAAATAATATTAACATTTACTCATCACTTGTCATACATAAATTCATTTAATCCTTACTATAAACTTATGAGTTGGGTTCTGTGATTGTCATCATTTGCAGATGAAAAAAATGAGTCACAGAGGATAGATAATGGGTCACACAGCTAGTAAATTGGATTCGCATTCTGGTGGGTTGAGGCCAAGTTAATAAGCTCTTAACCACCCCTTAGGTAATTATTATGTCAAACTTTATTTAAAAATCTGTCCCATTAGTTTGGGATAGCAGGATTTTTTCTTGAAAAAGATGAGAAAATTATATTGGATTTTTTTAACTTTACATTATGGGAAATATTTCAGTTTGGAACTCTAAAAGATAAGACTTTTTGAAAAATACCATTATCTCACTTAAAAAATAAGCATACATTCTTAGTTATCATTTAACATCAGTTGAAATCTTACCAGTTGTCACCTAATTTTTAATTTGTTGAAATCAAGAGTTCAAATAATATCCACCCATCACAGTTGATTGATGTTCCTTTGAGGTCTCTTAAAGTGACGTACAGGCTTTCCTCCATTTTTTTTTTTTTTTTTCCTGTGATTTTTTTACTGGTGAATCTACATCATTTGTCCTGTAAAGTTTTGCTGTCTAGATTTTGCTGATTACCTCTGGTGGCATTTATATGTTCTTGCTCTTCCTATGAATTTCTTATAATACTTAACATCTAGGGCCTCCTTGGTGCCTAGGGGTTAAGTCTCAGCGCTACCACCATGAAGGCCCACCTCCATCCTCAGCCAGGGAGCTACCCACATGGCACAGCAGACCTCTCCTGTCTCGGCCGCTGCTCCCCTCAGCAGTGGATTTCAGTAGATCTGCCTGTTCTGTTCCTCACTCTGCCTCTGGTGAATCCTCTCGCCCTCCCTCCCCCCCACACCTTGGCCTACACCCCAGTTCTACGCAAAAGTAAAAATAAATAAATTTAAAATGGTTAACATCTAGTGACTGGAAACCATATTTTGTTTTCCAAAAATCCTTTCATCACGAGGCACATATTGCCAGTCCTGTGTCTTTTTGTGAGGTTAATAGCCATCAGTGATCATTGTCAAAACCCAAGTTGGAAAATGCTGATATTCTGATCCTGTCAATCTTCCATGTTATATCAGGATTTCTTCTTTAAAGAGAAGGTTTTTTTTATCATGTGGTTACCAAGATGTGTAGTATGAATCAGAAAGTCAGAAAAGATACTCGTCTTTCCATCTGTTTACTATTTTTCAAAAGAATGAATTTGTTCCCTAGCATCCTGCAAAGGTGACTGAGGTTTGTTTAGCATCATTATGAATTGGCAGATTTAAAATATGTGTTTCCATTGAAGTTGTTAGTCTCAACTATTGTTTAAATGTTCTCATTTTTGCCCAGTTGGGAGCTTTTCAGGTTGATGCCTTTACCTGACCTCAGTAGTCTTTAATGGTTCCCTTGCTTTTGGTATGAAAAAGATGTTCTTGGCTAACCTTGTGTATCTCTTATTCCATATCTAGAATCGACCAACCTCTCAGAGGAATGGGAAGTGGTATTTACAGATCACAGTGTGGGCTTTTGAGTAATTTCATCCTTCTATTGATAACTCACGTGGTATTTTCTTTCCCCCAGGAGTGCATGAAGAATATCAGCTGCCATATTATGACTTAGTGCCCTCAGACCCTTCCATTGAGGAAATGCGAAAGGTCGTATGCGACCAGAAACTACGTCCTAACATCCCCAACTGGTGGCAGAGCTATGAGGTAGGAAGCCCCCTCCTGTGACTTTCCATCTGTCTGATCTCTCTACTTCGGAAAAGGGAACACTAACAATGGCGCTGACCCCCAGGGGTCAGTTATTATGTAGTATTGGGTGCTACTTATATAATGTGAGCAGCCTGGTGAGCCACAGGCCCTGGTCCTGGGGTCTGTGAGGACCGCTTAGGAGTTCACAACCTAGTAGAAGAAAAGGCTTTGTCCCTAGACACAAATAAGAGAGACAAGGTCAAAAGAGAGAAGCACAAACACAGACCTGTCTCACTAGGAAAGTGACAGTCCGCAGGGCTGAGCTGAATTCTGTGGAAGAGTTAAGAAGAGAAATCTATAAAAGCAAAAGACTGGGCGTGGAATGCGGTACGGGGCTTAGAGAAGGCATGTCCGTGAGGGAAGTAACCTTTCTAGAAAATCAGAAGGGAAGAGGGTGACATGTGAAAGGATTGGGAGTGGATGCTTCGTGTAGATTTGGTCAAGAGGGCAGATGAAGTGGGCAGGAGGACAGTGTTTGGTGGGAACAGTTGAAGACAGATTCATGGGATTCTGGGGTCTCATGGCCTTCAAGGGGACGGTGATTTGCCTAGCCAGGTGCACTTAGGCCTCATTTTTCATTCAAGACTGCGTTTAAGGAGACAACCACAAGAGGGCGACGCTGCCTGTGAGAACACAGTTACGTAGCGCACGTTGTAGGTCCTGCCTTCTCATTGCATAATGGAACTGCATTTTTTCAAAACGTTCCTTGGAACCCTTAGTTGAGGATTTACTTCAGAGGAGGAGAGTAAAACTGAAAGAAGCGATATTTAGCTCCTTCTTCAGTCCGTGCTGCTCATGTGTGAGGACTCGACGTAAGAAAATGGGTTCCACTGCTAAAAGCCCTTGTGAAAAGCACTGGCCTCGGGCAGTCGTTGCGGAAACCTGTAACCCTCAGTAACCAGCAGCAGTCCTGGGTGGCCTTCCAAATCCACCTCTTGGCCTCGCGGTGGCCTGCGTGGTTCAGGCAGGGGCACCGTAGCTTCCTGCCTAACACAATTACTCTTCGGGGGCTATTATCCTCCTGCCGCTTCCCCACCCCGATTCTGTGCCCCTGGGATCGTATCCCGCGCAGCCTCTGTGCACCCGAATGCACATGCCAAGCTGTGTCGTTCTCGCGCCTGGTTCTCCTTTTAGAGAACCTCGTTAGTCATCATAAAAATGGATTCTCAAACCCCTGCAGCAGTGACGTTCAGGTCACAGGCTGTTTGCCAGTCTTCTTTCCAGACCCCCGCGTCGGACGGGGAATGGCTGAGTGCACTTGCAGAGAAGGCCTCCCCCTCCAGGCCGCAGTTTCTCCTTTGGCCTTTACACCCTGTGCTTTAAGGAAGGAAGAGCCCTTGGGTGAGGGAAGGTGGTAAAGCATTTCCCAGTGCCGGAGGAGAAGGAGGGGAGATGCTGACAGACTGTCCTGAGGAGAGAGGAAGAGCCAGGGACGAGAAGAGAGGCTTCCAGGGCCAAAGTGACCCTCTCGGTTTCTCTGCAGGCGTTGCGGGTGATGGGGAAGATGATGCGGGAGTGCTGGTACGCCAACGGTGCAGCCCGCCTGACAGCTCTGCGCATAAAGAAGACCCTCTCACAGCTCAGCGTGCAGGAAGACGTGAAGATCTAACCTGCTCCCCTCCCCCTACACGCAACCCTGGGCAGCGAGAACTACACAGCTGCCGTGTTGAGCGTACGATGGAGGCCTACCTCTCGTTTCTGCCCAGCCCTCTGGCCAGGAGCCCTGGCCCGCAAGAGGGACAGAGCCCGGGAGACTCGCTCACTCCCACGTTGGGTTTGAGACACAGACACCTTTTATTTTACCTCCTAATGGCATGGAGACTCTGAGAGCGAATGGTGTGGAGAACTCAATGCCACAACTCGAGCTGGTGGTGGTGGGGAGTCCCACAGACCCCGGTGCATCTTGGCATGTCGCCGCGCGTGGTGACAGGGCAGCCTGGGAGGAGCCAGGAAAAGCCAAGGGGCGCCAGTGCTAGCAGCACTAAGGGTTTTCCTCCAGGGACCAACCCCAGCACACGGAGGTGGCCCTGAGGAACCACGGCGGTCCCTCTGCAGGCGGCTGCGCTCTTCCTCCCTCAGCAGACACCGGGAGGGACTGCCAGCGGGACAGCCTGCCGCCTGTCCGTCCAGCCGTGTGTGCATGTGCCGAGGTGCGTCCCTTGTTGTGCCTGGTCCGTGCCACGCCCTTACACGTATGTGTGTGTGTGCGCGTGTGTGTCTGTAGGTGCACACTTACCTGCTTGAGCTTCTTGTGCATGTGCGGGTCGGGGGTGTGGGCATCCTGCCGTCTGCGCCGGTGCCTCTGTTCAGTAGTGAGCAGCGGCTCGTTGCCCTGGTGCCCTCCCCGCGGGACGCCCCCGGCCCCGGGCCACGGCGGGGCCCTTCCCAGTAGGCCGCTCTGCTCACCCTGTGGCCGCACAGTTCTCCCTCTCCCCCTCCACGGCACGCTGGACCCAGCGCCGACCCGGCTGTCCGTGGCGGGCAGGGTGTCGGGTCCAGATGCCACGGAGAAGTGGGGCGGGCAGGGGAAGAATCTCGGCAGAATTCTCGGGGGTCCTGGCCAGCAGCTGCCGTGGGGGTGACCCTCCCAAGGGCGGCTTCAGCAGCGGCAAGGAGGGGCCAAGAATTTGAAGCCAGACCTTGGGACTGGGATTGGAATGTCACATCTGTCCTCCCTGCCCCAGGTTCTGGAAGCAGCAGTGTATATTTTTGGTGGTGGTGGGTTCAGGGTGGGGGGCGGGGGGAGGGCCGTCTGCCTGGGGCTGTGACTGGATTTCCTGACCCTGGTCGGGGGCGCGGGACTGGCCACTTGAGGAGCCCTGCCAACAGGGTGCCCGAGCGGCGCCCGTTCTCGAGCCCGACGTCGTCGTGGATGACAGGTAGCCGTGCGGCGGGGGGTCTGGTCAGCAAACCTTAGCTGTGTAATAACTTTGAAGCCATAACTTTTAACTGGAGTGGTTTGGTTTTTTGTTTTTGTTTTTTTCTTAATTTTATTGGGAGGGTCTGGATTTTAACTTTTTTTAATATTGTTTTTATAAAAAGAAACCCATCTCTCCGTGACGATTACCTCTCAATCTGTTTGTTTTTAAAGAAATCACTACAAAAACAACCACAAAAAATTCCCCGAACGCACATAGCTCGATCACACTGGAAATGTTTGTCCTTGTACCTGAGCCTGTTCCCCCCTCAGTGAGTTCTCCACCCTGGGGGCTAGTCTCTTGCAGTCTTCGCCCCACCTCCCGACTCTGTGAGTGGCTTTTGCGCTGGACCTCAGCCTTCTGTGCTCTGTCCAGTGCCAGTTGGGTGCCAGGCGCCGTGCCAATCGCTGGGAATACCTCTGCGAACGAGACAGGCGTGGTCCTGCTCCTGGGGCACTCAGGGGTTGGGTCAAGTATGTGGTTGCCTGCTTGGAGACCAGAAGTTGTGTTGTGGATTCTGAGAGCCTTGTGAGCCGGGAATGATGGTCCTCGTGTGAGACCATCGAGGAACAAGGCTGCCTGCCCCCTGCCAGAGGGACTGGTGGTGGGCACGAGACCCCCCCGTCACTGCATTCGTGCTGAGCCTCCTCCCTGCCCCCAGAGGAGGCAAAGACTGTGCACGCCCGCGCGCCCCTGCCTTCCAGCCCAGCGATTCTCTGCCAAAGCTTGTGGAGGAGAGGGGAGCCCTCTCCTGCTTACCTTGGGCTCCCCAGTGCTCCTGGTTTTCCTATTTATTTTCCTAATGTGTTGCTTTCCTTGCGTTAAAGGAGATCTTCCCCTAAACCTTTGGGTCAATTTACTGGCCACTAATTTCCCTTGACTACCAGTTGTGTCATGAGGGGGCCCTTCCTGCCCCATCCTGCTGACCCCCACCTGGCCACCCTGTAGCAGAATCTGGTGGGTTATAGGGGATAACGGAACTGAGACTTCCACCCCCGTCACTACGAGCCTCTGGGACCTGCCGACACTCCTCGACCCGGGAACTCCCAAGCCACTTGCCAGGTGGCGCTTCTGCCCTTACCACACGCGCAGTCCAGCTCCACCTCTGGGGGAGACTGAGCAGCTTTTTGGGAAGCTCCCACCCCCCCCCCACTCTTAATACCCCAAGTTAGGAGTTAGAGAGTTGGGGAGAAACTAAAGCCGTGGTTGTTGGCCCCTGAGGCTAACCCTGATCCATAGGGCTACCTGCGCCTCTGGATTCTCCGACCAAGTCCAAGCCCGTTCTGCTGTCGCCATCACGGCCCCCGAACGGCGTTCTCGGTACTTCTGTTTGTTTTTGTACATTTTATTAGAAAGGACTGTAAAATAGCCACTTAGACACTTTACCTCTTCAGTATGCAAATGTAAATATGTGTAATATAGGAAATCTTTTGTTTTAATATAAGAATGAGCCTGTCCAATTTCTGCTGTACATTATTAAAGTTTTATTCACAGAACTTTTGCGGTGCCATTTGCTTCGCGTCTGTAGCCGGGCTGCCCCGCCTTTGCCAGGGGGCCTGGGGAGGGGCCTGTTCTCAGGTAGCACGTCCCCGTTGCTGGCTGTGGGGTTGGTGTTAACATTCAGCGGGTCACATTCAGGAGAGGAGCCATCTGAGGGGTGCCCCTTCGGAGACTGTCCTCTGTTCTTGGTGGGGGGCTGCATGTGAGAGGGAAGGGAAGAGACAGGCTGAACACATTTGGGGGGCTTTGTTTTTACTGTTTGTGGGTTTTGTTGGGGTTTTTTTTGAAAGAAATAGACCATTTCTTAGGCCGCGGGAACCCAGGACAGGAAGTCCTAGAATCACAAAATCCCAAATTAGATGGGTCCCTGGGGGACGTCTGGTTTACCATCTACCAGGCTTGTGCCTCCCCACAGCGCCCTGTCAAGTGGGTGCAGGTCTCATGGGACAGCAGGACCACAACTCCTCGCAGTGAGCCTCTCACTCCGTAACTGCTCTGACCGTGGAACTGCGCAGTCTCCACATGCAGGTCAGAGCGCTTGTCCTGCCGGCAGGAATTCTGCAAAGCCCAGAGTTTGCTCATTAGCAAATACTTACTGAAAACTTGCTGTGTGCTAAGCAGGGCGCCAAAATTTGCTTTGTGTGTGTTAATTGCTTTAACACTGAAACCAGCATATAAAGTGGGCAGCATTATCCCCTCCATTAGGAAACTGAGGGTCAGAGAAGACAGACAGCCCTTGTAGCTGCAAAGACCTTGGGTCCAGGATGTCCACCCACATGCAGCCTCTGAGCCCCTCACTGCCTGCCTCCATGGCCCTGTGTTCATGGTGGCTGCTCTCCAGTGAGCAGAGCGAGGGCCTGGGGCACGCAAGGGCACATAAGCTCCCACCAGGGTGCCAGGGAATCCCAGGACGTGCTTCAAGCCTGCAGGCTACCCCTGGGGGCTGCATCTCATGTCCTGGGTTGAGCACAGTCCAGCCACTTCCCTCCACCCTTCGTGTGAGAAGCTAGTATTTGGAATGGAAGTGCGGAGCCTTTACATGTTTGCCCTGTTCAATTTTGTCACGGAACAGGTCCGTTGCGCCATCTGTCAGTGTTCTGCATTGCTCTCCCATCTGCGACTGTTCAGCTGGAGAAAACTAACTTACCTCTAAGTTACCTCTAATAACCCAGATCAGCTGTACACTCCTTGTTCTTGAGCCCTGGCCATAATCCTTTCATGGACATAGATAACAGTAGACTTGCTGAAGTGACAGCTGCCTTTCTGGTCTACCTGTCTGTAGAGAGAAAAGGTGTAGATGAGTGGTTTGTAGTGAATCTCATCCAGTTAAGAACCAGCCTGTGACTGACTGGTCATCTTGTCAGGCATGGATCTAAAATCCACTAGGCTCTGAAGATCACTGGGCTCTGAATGGCAGGTTCAACTTTACCATTTTGAAAATCAGGAAGACAACTGTGCTGCTACCTCTTCATGTGCCTTTGAAGGTGACCAACAATGGCTCACCCCTGTAAGGCCCACACACCAGGCCATTCCTGAGCGGTGTGTCACTTGGGCCTTTGTTTCCCGCATCTTCAATTTCTGTCCTCCCAGTTCATGTCTTCTGAAGTTCACAGTCTGGGAAACGAGTCTGCTAAATACAACTGAAACAAAATTAGGAGCAGAGTTGTAGACTTCAGGAGACACTCAGGATGAGAGAGATGAGGGATGCAGCGTGACGGTGGAGTAAGCCAGGAATGGTGTGTTGAGGTTTTCTAAAGAAACAGACCCAATAGGATGGATGGGTGGGTGGGTGGGTGGATAGATGGATGGATGGATGGATGGATGGGTGGGTGGTGGGTGGCTGGATGGGTGGGTGGATAATAGATAATTTTAAGGAGTTGACACAACTTCTTAAGGAGGCTGCAAATCTGAAAACTGGGCAGGGCAGGCCACAGGCTGGAGAACCAGGAAAGAATTGATATTGCAGTCTTGGGTCCGAAGGTACTCTGGAAGCAGAAGTCTTCCTTCCTCAGGACATCGATTTCTCAAGGCCTTCGGTGGATGGGGAGAAGCCCATGCACATCACGGAGGGCAATCTCCGCTCTGAGCCCTCAGAGTTAAACGCTCATATCCAAAACAACCTTCACAGCAACATCTGGTGTTTGGCCAAACTGGCACCAGACCCTAAAACTTGTTGGGGGTCCTATAGGCCCCCCTCAGAATAGAAAGGGATTTAGGGAATACACACAACATCCTGGGGTCCACCGGGGAGTGCTCTTTGGAATCTGGGTGGGGAGGCTGGGGTAGGAAGATCGAAGGAGCAGTAGGAGAGACGGGACTCGATTTAATGAGCCTTTGCGCCCCCTGAGCATGGGAGGCAGTGGGCAGAGTACAGAGGTGACCAATGTAGATCCTGCCTTTCATGGCAGGATTTGTACAGAGAACAAGGTGGAGCTGGCAAGTCCCATCACAGCAATACTCTGTGCCATGGGAGCTCAGACGCGCGACTTAGGAAAGAAAACGCATTCCTGTTCTCCAGGGGCCCCTCGCTGGTGGAGGCAAATCGAGAACTACGGGAGTCAGGTCAGTGCTGCCGGCGCACACGTCCCGGGAGCACAGGACAGCAGGGTGGGCGGCCAAAAGCAGCGGCCCCTACCTCGAAGTAGGCATTGCCCTGCTGGCTGACAGACGGGTCCTGACAGAGTGTTGTCATCAAGGACCACAGATGTTCAGTGTGGCCAGAACAAGGGAACCAGGTGGCAGCTATCATGGCCTGAGGCGTGACATCCTGGGGGCACTGATGCCACCACTTCCCTGCGACGGCCACCTCGGACTGCTAACCTAGCAGCAGTTTCTCTTTGCAAGTTTTTCTCATCATGTGTGGGGTCGCGCCCCAAGTCAGCCATGATTTGGGGAATAGGCCACTGAGGGGTGTAGAACTGGGGAGTGATGAGATCCCAGTGTCTCGGGACAACTACAGTGCAGACGGGGGTGGGGGGGGTGGGGGGGGAGGCAGCCGCGGTGCAGGAGCGCAGAAGGGGGAAGGCAGAGACAGACGGGCAGCATCGCAGGTTGGGGCAACATCATCATGGAAAGGCTGACTTTCCTAACGAGGGGTGCTGGGAGCAGGGAGGGGCGAGGCAGTCTATTAGGGCAGGTTCCTTGTGCAGGATCCGGGGGCCTCTGGGTCGAGTCCTGCATGGAGATCAGGGGCCATCTTGCCTCTAGGATGTCTCTGGCTTGAACAGGTTAGACTGGCAGAAGCGGGTGGGTGCTCCAGCCTGCTTGTTTGGAGCAAACAGGAGGATCTTAGCCTGGGGCACAGCACTGTCCCCTGGGAGAGGGACTGGGGACCTTTGCCGGAGCAGCTATTTGCCAAGAGGGAGGAGATCGGGGCCCTGAGTGCTGGCATTCTCTGCTCTGGCTATGTGTGCAATGTGACAGCGCTGAGGAGGGCTGGAGCGCTCACCCTCCCTTCTGCCAAGCCAGAGACCTGTTCAAGCCAACCCTCCTGTTCAAGCCAGAGACATCCTACAGGCAAGCAAGATGCCCCCTGATCTCCAGGCACGACTCGACCCAGAGGCCCCCACATCCTGTACAAGGAAACTGCCCAAATAGACCGTCTCGCCCCTCCCTGCTCCCTGCCACTGGGTCTGCAGGCCCGAGTTTCACACACAAACACTGAGCTCTTGGGAACTGCTGGACAAAAGGAGCATGAAGAAAAACAGCCGCTCCCTGCCCAGTCAGCTGCCCACCGGCTGTCTCTGCTGTCCTCGAGAGAGTGCCACGCCACTGGGGCCCACCCCTCATTCCTGACGGACCACAGCGCCATCTGAGTCCCAGGCTCCCCCCTCTAACTCCCCAGCTTAGAAGCTTGGCGATACGCAGGGGCGCCCCAGCAATCTCCGCATCCCTGCCAGCCCGGGATGAAGTGGCTGCGAAGGGGCCTGGGCTGGAGTTCTGGTCCCTGGGGCCAGAGCAGGCCTGCGGGCAGGGATCGCTCTCTAGCAACCTCCCCGGGGGCTGTGGATGGTTTGGTATCTGGGCTTGTCCCTAAGAGAACGGGTCTCCCCTCAGCCTTGGCCATTGGCCGAACCCCCATCACAGCCCATCCTGAGTGTCAGCCCAGCGGTAGGAACTAAAGGAAGGAAGCTCGAGGGCTCGTTCCGAGGGATGTGCTCAGGAACAAGGTAGAAACAGTACAGACGGCTGAGCAGCCAGCGCGGCGGGGGGCGGGGGGTGTATCGAAAGGAGCCTTCATGGAGGGAGGAGGGTGAGGGGGAGACGCCCGAGATTGGGGCTGCAGGCCCCCCCCCCATCTTTTAGAAGTTGTAGAAGATGAGACAAAAGACTCCGGCTTCGGAAGACGTCCTGGGGGGCTGCGAGGAGCAGAGCCGTAGGGGCCTCAGATACTGTGTGGTGTGTCACCCAGGCGCCCGCCCGCTGCCTGGTCTCTCCCTCAGGAAGTTCACAAGCAGCAGCTTTAGATTCAAACAACAACAACAACTTCCTCACTGGGGCAGGTGTGAGGTCCTGGAACCCCGCGACCGCAGTGGAGCGTGGTGTCTCCGTAAACACAGACCCCCTCCGGCAGGAGACACCCACTGGGACTCCGGGTGGTGCCTGGCATAGCCTGACCGCCCTTCAGGGCTGGCCCTGAAACTTTCCACCAGGAGACTCGTGGCCACCAGAGGGCACCACCACCCTCTGGTGAACATCAGGCCTCCCTGGAGAAACTGGGGCGATTGGAAAAAGGAAGCCGCAGGATGGGTCTCTGAGCTCTGGAGGGGAACAGGGGAGCTGCCAGCGGCTGAATGAAATGCTCTTTTGGGTCAAGAGGCCTGGCATCTAGCGGGTTCTAGTACCTGTTCTGCGCCCTCTCTCCCTCCCGGGCCTGTTTGCCTCTGCAGTTAAGTGGATGTGGACCACATGATATCCTCTCTGGACCACAAGGCCCTTCCGGCTGTGAAATTCCAGGATTTGAGGAAATCACGCAGAGAACCCGACAGATATGGCATCTCCTGGGCCCACCCTGACTCGGCTTCTCGAGGGCTCTCTGCTGGCAACAGGAAAACACGTGTGTGAACTTCAATTCTCTGGTGGTTTTCTGTCCTTCAGGGGGCCGGGAGCCAGAGTGACCCGAACACCGAGGGGGAGCCACTCGGTCTGCAGGGCCGTGTCTCCACAGAGCTGTCAGGCACAGCCGCCAACACCAGGGGCGCCCAGGTGAGGGCCAGGCGAGGGCCGGGCGAGGAGGCTGGGAGGGGCGGCCATCCTTCCCGGAAGTTATACCAAATCCTCCTCTGTGGGCCCTCAGACACAGGCACGGGCGTGAGGAGAATAGAAGCCATTGCCCCTCCTGCCTTTTCTCGCCTCCCCACCCCCGCCCCCACACAGATGCTGTCTGTCGGAGCTCACAGCAGACGGTCCAGGGGTCCATCTGTGCTAATGCTTCACAATAGAATCCCATGTTTCCCCACCGACACCCCCTGGGCCCCTCAGCTGATGGCCACTTGGTGGTGCCAAGGGGGAGAGGGAAGGAGGAGAGGCGGGCACCAAGGGAGCGAGCTCTCGGCTCCCCAAAACTCCCCGCTCCACCCCCAGCCCCCAACCCAATAAGCAGTCTGCCATCTGGACTTGTGTAATCACTGAGGGGTGGAGAAGCACCCCTTCCACCCACTCCTCCTGTGGGGGCTGAGGCCCCGGGAGCCTGGGGGTGGGGAGGAAACAGAGAAGCGAGGGGAAGAGACGAGGCGGCAAGGAGACAGGCGGGCCAGCGGACAGAGGTGGCCAGGAGGCAGAAAGCCTCCCCTGGCCTCCCCAGGCAGATGTGGTCACTTGCCTGTACCTCCTCAAGACACGCCTCTCCCCCAGGCAGGTGCCGGCACCACTCCCTGCCAGGCCTACAGCCTCGGTCACCCCAGTTCCTAGCCAGGACCTGGCACACAGCAAGGCTTGAAGAAGAACTGAGCCAGTCAGGCTAGAAGGCAGCTCTGGGACCAGGCCGCCAGGGTTCAATCTCGGCTCTGCCACGGAGTGGCCTCCAGTGAGCTCCCTGACCTCTCTGGGCCTGCGTGTCTTCCCCTGTGTGGCAGAGGAGGGCACCTATGTCATCGGGTTGTGAGGAGGAGCAAATGAAAGCACACATGTCTGCAGAGCACCCACAGAATAACGCGCATGGCATGTGGGAACTGATCAATAAACGTCAGCCATGAAGGCACAAGGCAGCTTTGGGGAAGACTAGGGGGGAGCAGAGACGAGACGCCCCCCCGGCCTGCGTAGAGGTGGCTGATGTAGGGACCCGGCACCGCGGCTTGTGATGCCGCCGCCCTGGGGTGGCCGCCGCGCAGACGCCAGCCTGGCCTTCCACTTCCTCCTCTCACTTCTGATTTGGGAACCGCTGACGACAGACTTCAGCCGGGAGGGCCCACCTCTCCCACAGCCTGGCAGCCGCCGCATCCCATGGGCGTGAGGCGGGGGTGGCCCAGGTACACCCACCCCCATGAGTCAAGTCCACCCAAGGCTGCTGGCTCTGAAAAGGGGGCTCTGACCTCCAGCACCGGGAGCGGAGGAGAGGTTGGTCTGGGAGGGGCGGCTCCTGACCTTCAGAGGCGGCAGGTCAGAACCAGGCCTCCAGCCCGCAGGCCGCGACCTCCTGCCTTCAGCCGGCACCCTGGCACGGGCGCGCAGCAGCCTGCCTCACCCCCGGGGCTCCGGTGTACCGGGGAGATCCTGGCCCTCTGCGCCCAGCGCTTCTGCAGTCAGCCCAGGGGGATCTTCAGGGACCTCACCCCGCTCCCTGCACGGGGCCGCTGTTGCTCTCCCTTGGCCAAGCACCCCCTGCAGCCCCCGGGGTTCCTGGACCCTCTCCCTGGATCCCCAAGGATCCTTGACCGCCCCGCACCACCACGCTCCCCAGGACTCCAAAGCCACGCACCCCGAATGCTCAGCTGTCAGAAGCCCCTTCATAGGCCTCTTCCAGGGCCCCCCAAAAGCCACCCTGATCTCGGGGACCCCCTCCCCGGCCCCGCCCGGGATGCCTGTCCGGCCCGTCCCTTCCCCCGCTCGGTCTCCCCGCTCCGCGCGCGGCTCCCCGGGCGGCTCCCCTCCCGGCGCGGCCTCGAGGCGGGGCTCGCGCGGGCCTGGGGCGGGGCCCGGGCGGGGGCGAGGCCACCCCGAGACCGCGCCCCGCCGCGCCCGCCCCCTCGCCCCGCTATAAAGGGAGCCGCGCGGCGCCCCGCGGGGCTGGCAACCCCGAGCCGCTGCCGGCGCCGCCTGCGAGGGCGCGGGGCGCGAGCATGACCCTCCGGCGCCTCAGGAAGCTGCAGCAGAAGGAGGAGGCGCCCGCGCCGGACCCCGCCGCCCGCGCCCCGGCCGCGGCCCCGGGCCCCCCCGCCGCGGCCGCCGGCCCCGGCGCCCCCGCGGACGAGCTGTACGCGGCGCTGGAGGACTACCACCCCGCGGAGCTGTACCGCGCGCTCGCCGTCTCGGGGGGCACCCTGCCCCGCCGGAAGGTGCGTGCGCCCCCCGCGCCCCCCGCCCCGCCCCGCCCCGCCGCCTCTTCCCCGGGACCTGCCCGCTCCGCGCCGCCCCCGGCCGCGCCCGCCGCCCCCCGTCGTCCCCCCGCGCCCCGCGGGCCCCCGCCACGAGGAGCCGCCGCGCCCCCGGGGCCCTGGAGGGGCGCGACCGCCCCCGCCCCCGCCGGATCGCGGGGTCCCCACTCCGTCCCGGCCGCCGCCGCCCCGTCTCGCTCCTCTCCCGCCTCAACTCCTGCCCGGCACCCCTTCTCCTGGCGCCCCATTTGGCCTCCAGCACCCCAGAGCCCCACCTTCCCCCGTCCAGGTGTTTGGAGGCCCCGTGCCCGGCGCCGCCAGTGGGGCGGGGAGCCCCAGGGCCGAGTCCCGGCTCGCACCGCCAAGTTGGGGGTCTGGGAGCGGGGAGCGGGGTGCGGGGAGCGGGGTGCGCGGAGAGTGGGGTGCGCGGAGAGCGGGGCGCGCGGAGCGCGGGGGCCGGCGCCGGCCTCCCCTGGCCGAGGGGGCGCGCGCAGCGCCTGGACTCCGGGGGGCTCACCCCTTCCCGGGGACGCCGGGGTGCCTGGGCTCGGGGCCTGCCGCCTGGCCCAGCGCCCGAGATGCGGGGTGCGAGGTCGCGGCCCCCTGGCCTTGGGCCGGGACGGGTGGGAGGGGTCGCCCGGCGCCCGCGAGGCAGGAAGGACGCGGCCGCGCCCGCCCTCGGAGTCGCCCCTCCGCGGGGTTCTTCCTCTGGCCTGAGGTGCACCCGGCCGCTCAGAGGGGGGACGTAAGACTCAGGTTAAGTAGAGGGGGCTGGTGGCCTTTCGCGGTCCGGCACACCCCCCCACCGTCCCCTGCCCGCCCCCCAACAATGAGCAGCTTGTTGCGGATTTGCATTTTATGAAAATCGGGTGGGAAGACAAAGGGGTCTCTCTCTGCTGCCCGGTCCTTCCTCCGTGCCCTGTTGGGGAGCCGTCCCCACCCTGAGGCCTGGCCTTGGCTCTGGAGACAGGCCCCTTCCCTCGAGCCTTGGGGCAGCCGGGGCAGCCGTTAGCAGACCCGGAAGGGTCTTGGGGCACAAGAGGCTGGGCAGGTCTGGAGCTGGGCAGGTCTGGCGCTGGGCAGGTCTGGCGCTGGGCAGGTCTGGAGCTGGGTGGGTCCATAGCGGGGGTTTCTTGCAGGACCAGTAATTTCGGGAGGAAGTCCAGCTTTAGTTTCTCAGGGCCTTAAAGAGGCAAAAACCTCCAAGGCCACCACCTCCCCACCCCCTACAAAAAGCGAAAGAATCCCAGTCTCTCTCAAGTACAACAAGACTCAAGAGCAAGGTTGATGTCTAAGATTTTTTGTGTCAGACAACAACAAAACGTCAGGAGGCCCAGGTGGGGCCGGGCACAGTGGCTCACTTAGGCGGGGAGCCACCGGCGGCCCCTGCTACAGCCTGGACTTGGCAAGAAGGCCCGCGCGCCCTCTGTCCCCGCCTTCCCTTGTCCAGGCCGCGATGCCCACCCTCCCTCCCCGGAGCTCGGAGCCCAGCTCCCTAAGCCACTGTGGCTGAGAAATTGGGAGGAGAGACCTGACTGGCAGAGGGTCTCTGAAGTGGCTTGGTAGGCAAGCTTGGGGGACCCCTGCTCTTCTTCAGGTGACATCTGGGAAGAGCCCCTGCTTCAGCTTTCTGGGTCCGGGAGGCCTGAGCCCTAGAGACATGCCCCCCGGGGGAGGAGACTGTATCTAGAGTAGTGAACACTTTCTCCCCCAGCCCGAGAACCAGCACAGGGCTTTGAGGTTCATGCAGCGGGCACCCAGGAGGACTCCTGTGTCCCCATAGTCCTGGCGTGGGTGGTAAAACCCAGGGAGAAAGCTGTGGACTGATCCTGACAGTGCACTCGGTGAACAGTTACCGGGGCACCAAAGCAGGTGTGGAACACAACGGACAGGCAGTGAGGTGCTGGACCCCAGGTGAGGGGCCCCCCAGCATAGGGCTGTCAGCACCCACTTGAGGACATTCCCCCTCAGTGCAACTTCCTGACTGCTTTCCCACCCAGGGCTCAGGATTCCGCTGGAAGAACCTCAGCCAGAGCCCAGAACAGCAGCGGTGAGTCACCAGCCCTCCAGCCCCTGCCCCTGTCCGAAGGCTGAGGTGCTGGGGTGCAGTGGGGGATAGCACAGCGCCGCTTCTTAGCATGTCTCCCTGGCTGAGTGAGGGGCATGTGGGGGTGTAGGCTGTGTGAAGGGGGTGGCAGAAAAAGGAGGTAGGGACTTTTGAGTCATCAGGTGCTCCTCAACCCACCCCCAGTCCCTGCCAGTCACCCCTCCTTGAGGAGATCTGGATCTGGGAGGTGGGGGAAGTAGAAGTCTTGGGGCTCCCCAGGCCCTCCTCCCAGCCCTAGCAAACCCCATGGACGCAGGCCACAGCTGAGCTGTGTCCAGCTGCTCGCATCTGGCTGCCCCTTCCTCCAGATCTCGGTCCTGTGCTGATCTCAGCCCCTGGCGGCCCTCTTGGGAAGGCCGGGAAGTATGGGCAGAAGTAGGCGCTAGCGCAGGCCCTGCTCTGCCAGCGTCCTGTCCTGGTTTGGGCCAGACTTCTAAAGCAGATCAGCAGACTGCGCCTCCTGGCCAGCGTAGTCTGCTTGGCACTGGAGCTGAGTCGTTTTTATATTTCTAAAGGGTTATAAAAATAAAAACAAAGACCAATAGATGACAGAGGCCGAGTGGGATCTGCAAAGGAAGCCCAAAATACATACTATCTGGCCCTTTGCAGAAAAAGTTTGTTTTCCCTTCCAAAACCAGAGAGGGAGCACCGAAGTCACCCTCTGCCTCCACCCAACATGGGGGGGTGGGGGGACACACCAAAGGGGAAAAGCCAGAGCTCAAAATGGGGAGGAGCTTAGGCTGGGGCTGGGAGTTGCTCCTCCACATTTGGGGGGTATCTGGGTCAGGTTGGGAGGGAGCTGGGCCTTGGTCTCCTGGGCCTTTGGAGGCTTTGAGACTTTGGAAGCTGCTTTAACTCTGTCTCAGGCTGGGCGGGAAGGAAGGGGGTGGGGGTAGGCAGAGGAAACTCCGGGCTCCCCAGCAGGCCAGGATCTGGAATGGCTCCAGCCCATTGTGTCCAGTGGGCAGGACTTCAGTGCGGGAAGGGGCGGCCTCCAGGCTCCCCTCCCCCGGCCTCACATCTGGTGGGCTGGCCCCACCGCAGCTGGGAGGAGCAGCTGTGGTCTGCACTGAGCCTCGTGACTAGCCTCTGGGGGTGGGGCCAGCCCCCAGGCTCTGGGGCAGAAGCTGCAGGCTGGGGCCGAATTTGGGGCCTCAGTCAATATGTTGTATTCTAGGGCTCACTGGAAAGCTCGGGGTGGCCAAAAACTTCAGCTAGTTCATCCCTTGTGGGGGCCAGCCGTTCCCTATTGCTGCCCCCGCTGAGGCTGTCTGGATCCCGTGCTGCCGGGTGGAGTGGATTTCAGCTGGGGAAGGGGGTGGATGTTCCCACAACCTGCACCCGGTGACCTGTCCCTGGAGACAGCGCCTTCGCCTGGGTGTTTGAGAGCAGACTGCAGAGCAGTGGGGCCCCCGAGTGGGACCACCAAAGCCCCTTTCCACCCTGATGGTCTTGATGAGATGGCCTTTGTGTCTCCTGCAGGAAAGTGTTGACTTTGGAGAAGGAGGAAAACCAGACCTTTGGCTTTGAGATTCAGGTGGGAGAAGCCGGGTGCCAAGGGACAGAGCGGGTGGGAGGCCAGACTGAGGGATGAGGGGCCCTGCCCCACTCCCAGGCTCAGCGTCCCCTTGTCTGCTACAGACCTATGGCCTTCACCACCGGGAGGAGCAGCGTGTGGAGATGGTGACTTTCGTCTGCCGAGTTCATGAGTCCAGCCCTGCCCAGCTGGCCGGGCTGACGCCAGGTGGGGCCTGACCCCAGACACAGCTCTGGGAAGGGGGATGAGAAATCTCTGAAATCAATGATCCTTCCTTCTCCTATTTTGGGAAGACCAGAAGGAAGAATGAATCAAATCTGAGCAAATTTGCCATTTACTCTGTGATCTTGAGTCATCCCCTGCACAAAATGGGGACAATGACATGTCCTCCTTCCATCACAGTGCGGTTTGGGGGTTCCGGGGCACAGAACCAGGGACTGGGAAATAGCAGGTGTTGCCGCTGCTGTTCCACCTTCTCCTGGCAATCCGGCCGTCCAGCCTGGGCAGGAGCTGGAGAAGGCGCACATGCCGTCCGATCTGCTTGATTCTGGGGACAGGGCCCGTCCTTCCCCAACCTGCCCAAATCTAGGGTACCTGTGTTACTTGCTCCTCCATTAGGAGCCCCTCGGATTGCCCATGTAGAGTTTCTAGACCCCAGAAAAGAGCAGCCTGAGGTTGCATAAATTGACCAGCCCCCCCCCCATTCTGCCACCAATTCCTTCCTTACGCCCTCACCTCTTTGCCCACTTACCAGCAGGCCCTGGTAGCCAAGTGGTATAGGGCAACTTTGCAAAGCCGTTTCACATGCGCGCTCCCTCCTGATCCCCACGGGAGCCAGAGCTTGCGTCCACATTCCCTTTTTCCAGCTGGGAACTGGGCCCTGGGGGTGGTTGCTCTACATGAGGGCAGGCGTCTGCAGTGGCACAGGATGTCAGAAGCTTAGGTCTCTCGGGCCCACTGTGTTCCCTGCTCTGCTTCTCACCCTGCCCCCTTCCTGTGTTGGCTGGAACTCAGGACAGCCTGCGGGCTGGACAGAAATAACCAACTCCAGGGGCAGCCCAAGGTTGCTAGGAGGGCTGTGTTTGGGGACAGAGCTCTGTGTTTGGGGACAGAGTTTTGGGGACATCCTGAGGATGGAGTGCGGGTGTGGGTGTATGCGGGCACTAGCCCCGGGACTGCGATGCTAGCCTGGCGTGGGCAGGGGAGATGGCTGTGGTTTTGGGAGTATGTACTTCGGGTGGGGTGGGGAAGGCTGTCCGAGGAGGTGTCCCCAGCACCATGCAGAGTAGGGGAGGGGATGTCAGGGGTACTCTGGTATTGTTACCCTGGCCCCTCTGGCTAGGGCAGGTAGGGGGCTGGAATCCTTCCACTATGCCCCTTGGAGCAGGTGCTGACCCCCCCTCTGCTTGGCAGGGGACACCATTGCCAGTGTCAACGGCCTGAACGTGGAAGGCATTCGGCACCGAGAGATTGTTGACATTATTAAGGCATCCGGCAATGTCCTCAGGTATGTGCAGGTGCCGAGCAGGCCTCTGAGGATTCCTAAGCTCAGCCTCTCTGGGTGTGTCCTCGCCCTCCAGGCTCACTCAGCCTTTCATTCCCCAACCTCCACAGACTGGAAACTCTGTACGGGACATCAATTCGGAAGGCAGAACTGGAGGCGCGGCTACAGTACCTTAAGGTAAAGCTGCCCAGATAACGTCCGGCCTCCTGTACCCCGAGCCGGAGCCCCAGCCCCTGCCCCCGCAGGCCGCACTATTAGGAAGTCATTTATGTGTCCAAGCCTCTTGTTAACCTTCAGGTTCAATTCCCTTGTCCCTCACTCAGCCCGTACCCACCCCCTGCTGGTTTCCTGCAGCTCCTGAGAGTGTATGTGTATGGGGGGGGGTCTCTTGCAGCAAACCCTGTATGAGAAGTGGGGAGAATATAGGTCCCTAATGGTGCAGGAGCAGCGGCTGGTGCATGGTGAGTAGATTGGGGTGTGCAGTCACAGGCGCCCCTGCTGTTACCCCATCCTGTCCTGCTCCCCCCTCCAACTGAGAGGTTTGGGTGCAACGCCGTCCTGGCTGAAGGGCACTCTTTGAGCTGAGTCTCACCACCAGCCCCCCGAAGCTTCAGTGGCCGTGGAGGCGACAGTGTCTCCATTCTGCGGATGGCCACACCGAGGCGCAGAGCTCCTTTCCAACCTCTTCCTTGGCTCTCGCGTCCTAAATGGCCTCACGAGGATCTGCGCTTCCAATTCCTGTTTCACAGATGAGAGAGCGGGGCGCAGGGTGGTGACCCGTCGGGGCCACCCAGACGGTCCCCCACGGCCCTGACGCCCGTGTCCTCTGCCCGCAGGCCTCGTGGTGAAGGACCCCAGCATCTACGACACGCTGGAGTCCGTGCGCTCCTGCCTGTACGGCGCGGGGCTGCTCCCCGGCTCGCTGCCCTTCGGGCCCCTGCTCGCCGCGCCCGGGGGTCCCCGCGGGGGCGCGCGGCGGGGCGGGGGCGACGCCGACGACGCCGTCTACCACACGTGCTTCTTTCGGGGCGCAGAGCCGCCCGCGCTGCCGCCCCTGCCGCCCCCCGCGCGCGCGCCCGGCCCGCGCCCCGCCGACGCCCCCGCGCCCGGGCCCCCCGGGCCGCGCTGAGCCGCAGCGCCAGTGTGCGCTGCGCGGGCCCGGGGGGCGGCGGCGCGCCCGGCGCGCTCTGGACTGAGGCCCGCGAGCAGGCGCTGTGCGCCCCCGGCCTGCGCAAGACCAAGTACCGCAGCTTCCGCCGGCGGCTGCTCAAGTTCATCCCCGGACTCAACCGCTCCCTGGAGGAGGAGGAGAGCCAGCTGTAGGGGCGCGGGGCGGGGCGGGGCAGGTATTTATTTATTTATTCTTCCCACCAGGGCAGGAGGAGGGATGGGGCCGGCCGGGGGACCCCAGGAGCCCAGAGCAGCGGGAGAGGGTCCTCGCCAGGCGGGCCAGCCGCTGTGGCTCTTGGCCTAGCCGGGAACCCGGACCCCAGGACCCTTTGCTCCGCCTGCCCGAAAGCGCAGGGGCGCGGAGCAGGGCGCCCCAGAAGCGCTCAGGGCTGGGAGAGGCTCGGAGACCAGAAGTGGGACATGCCCTCCGGCATCGGGGGCAGCAGTGCCTTGTGGGGTGTCCAGGAAAAGCCCCCCTCGGAGGGAGTCATTTTTCCGTGCCGCGAAGCCCTCTCCTTAGCTTTACGCGTTGGCCACCCTGGGCCCTGGGGAGAAGCGGCCTGCGCTGGGTTGCGCCCTCACCCACCCACACGTGCGCAGTTCCAGGGAACCGGCAGGCCTCTGGGGGGGCCGAAGGTGCTGGTCCCTCTCCCTCCTGGCCTTGACCCCTAAGGGCTCGGCCCCTCCCGGGGCCTGTAACTAAGCTGGGTCTGCTGGGCAGCGGTCCTGGGTTCTGAGCCCCTTGGGGGTCGGGGATGTGGCTTCCAGGCAGGGCGGGGGCAGCCCAGACTGTTGCGCCGTTTGCATACCCTTGCTTTCTGAACCACAAACTGTATAAAATTGACGGTTTTTTGCATCTGTGTCAGCGTGGTGACTGCCTGAGGGGGAGGATTGAGCTCGGGCAAGCTCTGACTCCACCACCACCCTGTGCAACGCGCGCGCGCACACACACACACACACACACACACGAGTTTACATCTTATTTGCTTGGAGCCTGCAGGCAGAGAAACAGTCTGGGGGATTTTCACTTACATGTATGGGCCTGACCCTGAGGCCCCACAGCCTTTTCAGAACTGAGCCTCTTGTGTAAGCACATCTTGAGCCTCCCTCCCTAAATACCCACAACAGGTGGTGGCCCAGCCTCCTCCAAACTCCTTAACTATTCCTGTGTGAAAAACTGCTGGGCATCCTCTCTTCTGGGGTTTGAGATCTCCCTGGTGGGGCAAGAGCCAGGTCTACACTGCCTTTGTCATTGTCCACCCAACACAGGACAGGCGCAATCCTTGATCGCTGCATTCTTCTAGAACTTCTCCGTGGATTCCCTAGAATGATCCGAGCCCCTATGCTGGGATATCTGACCCGCCCATCTCACTTCCTTGTCTCTCCCCTGGCTCCCTGCTCTGGCCACCTTGCTGCACCTGCTGACTGCAGACTCCTCCCTCTGGCTCTCCACGGGCTCTTCCTGAACCGGCTTCTTCAGCTCTGCCTCCCAGAGGCCTTCCCACCCAGTCTAAAATACATCTGCCCCCTGCTCTTTGATGGAGCCTGTTTTATTTCTACGACACTACTCATCACCATCAGAAACTCTTTTGACTTACAGGTTTTATTTTTGACCCATTTGGATATATTTTGCCCCATGTGGAGCCTTGCTCCAGGGACTTTCTCTCTCTCCTTTATTTTTTTGCCCAATACTAGCACAGAATGAACCTCAGTAAATACGGTGTGTGCTCAAAGCATCTCCAAGAGATGGTTACTACCTTCTTTGAGGTGACCCAGGCAAGCAACATGTCTAGGGTCACACAGCAAATAAAAGGCAGAGCTGGGCCTGGGGTCAAAACCCCTGCTCCAGTGCGCCTCCCTGGCAGTGGCCAGCATAGACGGTAGCTTTCATGGTGGTCTAAGTGGCAGCCTTCCCAGTCGGGCTACCTCCGGCCCTCCCCTCTGCACCACTGTGCTTGTCTCCTGAATGGGTTCTCTGCTTCCTCACTCACCCCTCAACCATGTCCTCTCCACTCATGAATCAGCGCAATCTCTCCAGAAAGGGAATCAGAGCTCAGCCCTCCTCTGCTGAAAACTCAGTGTGGAGACTTTGGGGTTGTCTTGGGATGTGTCCTGGCTCCAGTGCTCCAACTGAACAGTTTTAGGGGACCACTGACCGCTCTGTCACCACGCCCAGCTTCTCTGGCAACTAGGAAATCATCCGATCGGAAAACTTTACGGATTTGGTCAAAGAGCTGGGGGGGAATGTGACACGGGAGGTGGCTGCGGCCGCAGTGTCCCAGCCAGCGGCGCAGCTCGAACAGGAGGGAGACACCTTGTGCATTAAAACCTCCACCACCGCGTGCACCGTAGAGATCAACTTCAGGATTGGGGAAGAGTTTGAGGAGCAGACTGTGGAAGGGAGACCCTGTAAGAGCCTGGCGAAACCGGAGCATGAGGACGAAATGGTCTGTGAACGGAGGCTTTTGAAGGGAGAGGGTCCCAAGGCCCCCCGGAACAGGGAACTGACGGGTGGGGAAGAGCTGATCCTGACCATGACCACAGACGACATCATGGGCACCAGGGTCTGTGTGTACCAACAGGGAGGGATGGTTGGCAAGAGTCCAGATCACCCATTCCAGAACCACCCCGCCACTCCAGACCTAAAGTCCCAGGTCCCAACCAGCCCAGAGCAAGACCTGAAGGCCCGAGTGGGAAAAGCTGGCCCTCTGGCTTCTACTCTTTGTCCCTGTAGCTTATACAGTGTAGCATATTGATTAATTTTACTAAAATGTTTTAAAAAATTAAAAAATAAACTCATTATGTCTTCCCTAGAACAAAAGAATAAAATCCCAACTCTTTCCCATGGTCTGTTTGCATGCTGTCCCTCTGGGCAGACAAATCACAGAAAGTCAGCTCTCCCTCTGGGTCGGCAGCAGACACACAGACCCAACAAGGTGGCCCCCCTGGAGCCTTTGTGCAGTGCACACCCCCTGCAACTGCATCGGGACACCCTAGCGAGTCCCTCCAGGATCTGGCGCCTGCCTCGCTCTCTAAGCTCAAATTGTTTCTCTTTCGATATCACTTATCATATTAAAGTCACATTTATTCTTTCTAGTCCTACTCCTCAAACATGCCACGCTCTTTTCTGCCTCTGGCCTCTGCTTGTGCTGTTCTCTAGAAGGAATTCTCTCCTTTGCCATGCTGATTCTGCCATCCTCAGGCCTCAAGTTATTAAAAATCACCTCCTAAGGGCAGTTTCCTGATCTAATCAGAAGTAGTCTGTGTTTCCATTATTCTTATCTTGACTCTATTTGTCTCTTTTATTTCTTACTTGCAAGTGGCAGCTACACTGAGGTCTTTTGCAGGAAGCTCAGCCTTGTTTATAGTTGCATCTCCAGCACGGAATATCCCGGCACACAGCAAGTGCTCAATAAACACCGTTGGGGGGGGGCAACCCTGCAGAGGGGTAACCTCCACCCCCACCTCTCAGCATGAGGTGAGGAGACCTCTCCCCTGCTCCATCTGTAGGTGGCACCTGGGCCCCTTGTGAATCCCTCGTGGCTCCTGCACCTGGCCGTCCTGTTCCCCCTGGCCAACCGGTACTGGGGAGCAAGGACATTTGATTAAGAAAATGGAGCTTCCCCAAGCTCCCTATTTGAACAGCTGCTCTGCAGCGATGACAAACAGCAGCTCCCAGGGGGCTCAGGTTGGGGGGAGGGGCCCTCTGGCACCTTTGTTCCTTTGGACCCAAGGCTGCCAGGAAAGCAGCTGCCTGGGCATGGCCTAGCACCTCACTGGGGGTGGGGGGCAGCAGGGACCTCCTGGCTTTCCTGGAATAGATTCCCAGCTCTTCTCCTGCAGCCTGTTCTTCCCCTCCCCGCCCCCCGCAGCTCGGCTTGGGAGTAATGTCAGTACCCCTCACCCAGGCTCAAGGGCCCCTGGCTGGCCGTGTGCACCCAGAGGAGGGTGAGGGGGTGCCCAGGGCGGGGCTGGATCCCACCTCTCAGCTGATGGGATGACGGCACTAGCACAGCAGCCTCCTGCCGTGTAGGTGGGTGACAGGGAGTGACTAATGTGTGAGCTTCGATGCTAAAAATTAACCCAGAGATCGTGTTTGGTGGAGGGTGGGGGTGGATGGGGAAGGAGCAGGGACTCGGAATATTGTGTGGTCGGTATTCCCTCCGCCCTGCCTCCCCCCTCACCTCCCACCAGCCTTCTGGTCCTCTCCAAGCCTCAGCGGGCTCTGTGGGTGCGCCTCTCCCTCCTCAGACCAGAAGGAACCCCCAATAACTCCAGGGAGAAGGAGAGTGTCACTCCAGGTGATGTCAGTGTCTCCCGGAGGGACATCTGCACATCACGCGCGGCGCAGTGACGACGACACAGCCTGCAGGTGGAGTTTGGGACCGGGTCTCACAGAGCCCTAGGCTGCCTCCCCTCTTCAGCACAGCAGGTGCCTACGCTGGAGTCTCCTAGTTCCCTGCCCCCCACTATGCCTGAGGCTAGGGCTCTGCCCAGCCGAGCAGGGGCGCAAGGACCGGTTCCTGTGAGCAGCTTGGAGCTGGGCAGCAGGGGTGGCAGCTGCTCCTGAAGGAAAGCACTGGGCTCTAGCTCCCCCAAAGCACCTGAGCTAAGCATTCCACATCCGGTACCTCGAGCGGGGTTTACAGCGCGTCTGAGAACCGTGTATCGCTGTCCCCATTTCACAGATAAACTGAGAATTAGAGCTGGCACCTGGGCAGGCATTCTCTTAGATCTCTTCGTCTCTCGAGGCGGGATGGGGGAAAGGAAGCCATGTGAAGACAGGGTCAAGAGGGTAAGACGTCCTGTAAAGGAGCTGAACCTTTCAAGTTGTGGGCCTCACCGTGGTGGGGGATGCGGGAGTGCAGAGGGTGTATGAAAGGTGGGACTGAAGGAAAAGGGGCTGAGAGTGCCAGCTAACAAAAGGAGATCAGGTCCGGCGGGATCAAGCTTCCATGGATGTGAGTCCTGTCTTGGAGTGAGATGACAATGTTCTCATCAAAATCGGTGGGTGGGTGGGGCTTCTTGGGACTTCCAAGAGGGGCTTGGATTTGAGGAAGAGTTTTTATTTTTGTAGTTCAGTATATCTTTTGCTTAATACCCATGTTAGCTATAGTGGCCATAGTTGTCTAGTGAAGAGCTTTGTTGGCACGTGTAAGAAACCTGCTAGGAGGAGTGAATCCATGAATAGTTCCGTGTCCTGGAC